CTTATTTTTATGACTTCTTACCAGTCACCCTAATCCATGAGTAGTATTTATTAGGAACTTAATCCTGCTGTTTAATATCAACTGGTAGGAAACTCCGTAAAGAATTTCTTCATTTAACGTTAATCTGAGTTAAAATCATTGGCCAGTGTATTTTTTTCTGGCAGATAATATTGATCAGGTGTCATCACGAAATGACACTATTCAGAGAACCAATGGAACTTATAGAGTACCCAACAGCTGTTTCTGACTAGTTTCCAACACCTCAGAAGTACAAATTCATGATCCCTTGAGGAATTGAATACAGGATCTTAAGGTTATGAGGCGAAGAAATTACCATTCAGCCACTAGAATGGGATCCATCAGCCTATGAGCTCCACTACTACTAGTAATTTGGGTTATTTGACACAAATGCCAGCCAATATTATCGGCTTGTATTTCATCACACCCAACATGGTGAAATTTAACAGCCTATTCAGTTGAAATGAATATCTATGAGATAGTTGGAGGCAGTCGGCCACAGGAAACCCTAGACCTAGGTTTCGTGCTTGTTGGCATTCACCAGTCAGAAAGACGTATCTGTAACCCCGAAGGAACTCATGTCCTTTGTGAGATTCGAACCTGCGTCACCCAGTGCTCCAGTCAGAGAATTTACCACTGAGCTATTCGGGCTTGCGATTGACCTCCTGTGGGACTGAAGTGGGTATTTTGATTGGACACTAGTAACTAGTGTGATGTGTCTAGTCCTTTCTTTGGTGCAGACTGAATTCTATCAGTCAGGTTTGTAATGTGGCCACCAGGACTAGACACGTCACAATAGTTGCTAGTGTTCAATCAAAATACCCACTGCAGTCCTACAGGAGGTCAATAGTGAGTCTGAATACCTCAGTGGTAACGTGTCTGACTGGAGCACTGGGTGAGGCGGGTTCGAATCTCAGAAGGGACATGAGTTCCTTCGAGGTTGCAGATACGCCTTTCTGATTGGTGAGTGCCAACTAGCAAGAAACTTAGGTCCAAGGTTTCCTGTGGCTGATTGCCTCCAACTATCTAATATCATCAAATCAATGTGCACCGTGATGGCGAGCTACCTAGAATGATGGCCACATTGCAAACCTGAATGATAGAATTCAGTCTGCGCCAAAGAAAGGACTAGACACATCACACTAGTTACTAGTGTCCAATGAAATGAATATCTACTTATCGACTGTTGACAGTATAGCTCTAGAAAAGAATTCAGGTATATTTTAAAACTATAGCGCCTAAGCGTACACACATCCACCTGAGTAGTGTTTTACTTTTAGTAGACTTTCAATACACTCATAACTACGCTAAATTAACACAAGATAACTTGTCTCGTTTTTGCTTTAAACATAAATAATCTTTACCGACATCTTTTCATTCGCAGATTGTTTATCCCCAAACACGTGTATTCTACTGGTTTAATATATATTTACAATAACAGCGGAATAAAAGTATTTCTGAGTCTTTCAGCTAAGAACTTTGTCAACAAACTCGACGCAACTGCGTATTTCCCAGTCTCCAGCATTTACATCATACAGTTTTGTACATTGACAGTAAATATCTGTTCAACTGTCATCCTGGTTGATTTAAAATATATACGTATGTATATATACCTTATAGTGTATAATTTAAAGTAGGCAGTTTACAAAACGGAAAAAATAAACGAAAATCTTAACTGAATTTTTCATAAAATTCATGTTTTGTATTTTTTTTCATATTTTTTTTGATAAATTCCAACAATTAGACTCTGTGTTGTCATTAGCAACTGTGGTGGCTGTGTGTCATTTATGTTAATCTTTACAGGAAAACGGAAAACTCAAAAGTTTAGAGTTTTTTTACTGGAAAAAAATTAAAAAGGAGCTACGGTTTCTCTTAAAAAATAATAATAGATTCTAAAATTCACTTTCATAATGTTTTTAACTTTGTTTAAAGGATAAATTTATTTGGTAATATTTGTTAAATTAAGTGAAATTAAGAGAGAGAGAGAAAGTGAGATGACAGGTCAAGCGTATAGTTTATGATACAACTGAAATTGGCTAACATTTCTTCACTCTCAGTTGGTAGCTTTACGCTTTAGCATTTTTCACCTCAGCTGCAAGTATATCGGTAATTTTTGCTGGACCATAAAAGTTTGAATTATTCTAAGTAATCTGAAGGATATATATTGTCCAATTCTGGGGATATTTCTCTAGATTTCCTATTTTATACTAGTGGCGTAATAGAATACTAGACGTTGACCATCGAATGTCTAAACCAGTGTGATAAATTCCATCTAAGGTGGGAATATAAATATAAGTTAGACTAGTTACAGGATTTCATCATGAGCTGATATTGGTTAAAGAACCACTGAAAAATCCGCAATGAGTACTGAACAGCTGTCTCATCCTAGTTTGGGACTCTTCATCAGCGCGCATCCACCACAGGGATTGGAACCCAGCACCTTCTGATTACAAGGCGAGCTTGTAGACCATTAAGCCACTGGGACCCAATCCGATGGCCCATGAATTCTAACTTCTAACTAGGACGAAACAGCTGTCCAGTAATTCCAGGTTTTCCAACGGTTGTTTACCCAATGTCAGCTCATGATGAAATCCTGTAACCAATCAGTCAAATCCCTACAAACCAATACTTGAATATAAATTAGATATTTAAATAAAGCGAGAACAACAGTTTTTGCAGAGTAAAATGGTACCATCATTGCTTATTTCGTTGGCTTCTCATAAGCCACTTACAGCCCAAAGACACTATTCAGTTCATCTATAGAAACAATTTCAACATACTTGCACAGATTTCATTTTTAAACAAAAATCAATCAATATATGCATACAACGCTAATAATAATCACTTTATCCCTAACAATAATAATCATACACAATGGAATCTTTCGGAGTTACGTAATCAGATGGAAGAGAGGACGAAACATCCAATTATCAGAGCAAGGAAGGACTGATAACCGCCGCTTTTTTCTGAACCCATAAATCGAGTTTTAGGCACGTGATAGAGATTGCTTTGGTAGACTTAAAGAGAATTGAACTCTTTAGCCAACCGATAATTTTGAATGATCATGCGACGTTCACCGCATGATCCGCGACGAGGAGATGCCTGTCGATGGCACTGTTGAAAGCATTTATTCCCTTAATACATAGGCTTTTTGGTACATGTTCAGAAAATCGTATATATGCCCTTCTTTCTGTTCTTCTTCCAATGTAACTGCTCCCGCAGATACTTGTAAATTTGTACACACAGTTAGAGTTAACATGAGAAGGATATCTGTCGATTTTTGATTGCACCATCCAATCATCAGAAAATATCTTACCAAAACATGAGAAATCATCCTACTATGCGAAACAGAACCTAATAAAAATCACGGTAATATTCATATGTAATAGGCAGTTTAATATAGAGATAATGGCTGCGTTAATACCCTTTATGGTAAATATGCAATCTACTGTGGAATTCTTGGCCCATTCTGTTCGATGGAGCCAAAACTTTAGACATGATGGAGAAGATTTGTAGTTCAGGTGGATGATTTTATTTGGTTGTGTTCTCTGAGCTGGATAGTTAATTTGCGAAGCTTCCATCGCCCTACTAGGCGACACCTTTAGCGCATACTTCAATTTAAAGCGAGCTTTTAGATTTCTCCATGAGTTTATTAGTCATCTCTCCTGGTTACCTTGAATAAGATTGGTTAGTCTTGAGTGTTTTCATACTCCTAGGTTACTAGTATTAGTACTGATTGTTTCCTTGACCTGAAATTTGACCCTTTGTATGTGAGATTTCCTTCTTACCGGGGGTTAAATTTTGTTTACCTTGATGTGTCTATTGATTGACGATTCACTGGAATACCAGGCTGCTAAAAATTCCCTAGCATTCTTGGTGTTTCCTCTGTCTAAAATTTGAACGTTGTTCCAGTCGAATTGATGTCCGTGGTTGTCTGTATGTAGTGAGGCGAATGAGTTGATGTCATATCTTTTGATGACTAGCTTATGTTCATGGATAAGAAGACGAAGGGGACGTCCACTTTGACCAACAAAGTGTTTTTATCACTTGTTACAATTTATTTTGTAAGTGATATTGGTTTTATCTTCTTTCGTTGTTGAGTCTTTTGGTTGACATAGATCTGAGTGAAGCGATTTTGTTGGTTTGTGTGCGACATCAATTCCTAAAGGTTTGAAGAGTCTTGCAGTAATTTCTGAGATGTCCTTTATACATAGTAGGGTTATTTTCTTTTTGTTTTCCTTAGGGGCCTTTGATTTGGTAGGTCGGTTTGAGGGTAGATCTCTTTTGATGAAGTTGCATGGATATCCATTCTTTGGGAAGACCTCCGTGAGATATCTTTCTTCAATTTTCCTTAAGGTGAGAGTGCTGCAATGAGTCCTGGCCCTCCTGAATATTTTTGTATGCCATTCCTTTTATGTGTTATTGGATTGCTGCTGTTGTAATTCAGTGTTTGGTCTGTGTGAGTTAATTTTCTATAAACTTGAATTTCTAATTCTCCTGTGGTTGTTCGCTTGACTAAGAGGTCCAAAAATGGTATTTTGTTCTCGGATTCCTCTTCTCTTGTGAATTTGATGTCGTTGAAGACGTTAATTTTATCCAACTCGTTTCTTTTGATTATTGCAAATGTGTCATCTACGTAACGTATCCAAATTTTGGGTTTGATCTTGGTTGGGATTATGTTTTCGAGCCTTCGCATCACTGCTTCGGCAATCAAACTTGATATCGGTGATCCCATGGGTCTGCCTTTGACTTGTTCATATATTTTTGGCCAAAAAATCAAAACTTTAAATAAATGCCATACATTGTACAAGTCTGTTAGACAAGAATGACTTTTACATATCGATTGTCATCTAGATAGTGTATGATGTCTAGTTGAAGGCATATACACTCTCTTTATAGAATAAGTAAACCCGTAAAATTCAAACTGTGTGGCCGTTATCTTTCATTTACCGCCTGAATTCTTTCTGATCTGTGCATTTCAGGATACAAAGGAACAGTTGACCAGTATGAATCCAGAAGAAGAAATCAGTTTAGACAGCTTTTTCCAAATGGCTGGTATGGATTCATCACAACTGGAAGCTTTGTGTTGTCCAATATCCTCTGGAACAGCATGTACACCAGACGATGGCAATCTAAACTTGTCTGGAAAAAATTCTCCCTTCACGCATCAACTTCAGTCATCAGACACAGAAGAGACAATTAATCATATTAAAGCACGTTATGAAGCAGAAATAGCAAATTATAAGAGAAAATTGTCAAGTTATCAAGATGGACAACAAAAACAAGCTCAACTAATACAAAAGTTACAGGCAAAGGTTAGTAATACTTCGGTACTTTTGCACGTATTGTATTTTAACGAAAAATTCAGTTTAGTAAACAAATTCTTTACTATTAATTGGTTTAAAGTATATGAATTCTTGGATAACATTGTCCACTGTTCAAATTAATCTACACTGAACAAATTACAGGAATTCCAATAAAGAGTGATTTTCTTACATCACATTAAATTTTCATGGAGAATAAAAATGTGTGGTCTTGGGTAGTTGAAGAGAGTTGAGAGAAAGCCTTGGACTAGACTTTGGTTTCATGCCTGGTGTTACTCTTTAGTAAGGCGTCTCTTAAATCTCGAAGGAAATCTATCCTTAATTGAATTTTAGAATTTCCCATCGATTGATTGGACCAAAGTGCTCGGTCTCAGGTTGACATGTCGTCTTCTTGTGCAGATGCTTCGATGATGTCTTGGCATTTAATTAGTATCTAATTAATGGATGGTGACTAGCAGTGGAATCCAGGATTCGCATTTCGTCCTTTTTAGGACTCGTCATACGGATATACCTGCATTTCTCAGTGAGTGATGATGTTCTGACGTGTCAACCTGAGAGCCAGCATTTCGGTCCAGTCAATCAACAGGAAAATCTAAAATTCAATTAAGTAATCAGTATGACCCGTTGCACAAGAGGTGGCTCTCGTGGCCCAAGTGGTCCAGTGGATAACGCTTTGACCTTTGAAACTATTGGCACTGGGTTCGAGCCTCGGCGGGAACATCATCACTCACTGGAGGAATGCAGGCACATCCGGCTGACGAGTCTCAAATAGGTCGAAATGCGCTTTGTCCTGGATTCCACTGCTAATCACCATCCACCAGTTAAATACTAATGAAATCAAACCTTTTAGGATATTTGAAGGTTTATCATTCAGAGCTGCATCAGAGACGTTAACTGATAGAATTCAGGCATCATCAGCCACAAGGAATCAGACACATGACGTTGATTACCTCCTTTTGACCAAATAATAGGTATTGCTCAAGGTAGAGGAAGGATGGTCAAAATGATTTAAACATAACATTGTCATAATCCGGTCAACTAGGACGCAGATTCGCCCAGACTAGACAGCTAGTAATGAAGACTATTTCAGGAAGACGTATTAGCGTCTATTTGTAAATTAGTGACCATTCTGTTTGACTTTAATGAAAAGTGAGTAGTCAGTATACTATTTTGTGTTCTCCGTATGAAGATGAACTATTATGTACTTTATCTAAATATTATATCTCATCATCTTGTCTGAGGCATAATGAATATCATCTATTTTCTCATTGAATATACTTCGTTTTTATTACTTCTAAAGATTGAGGACATATTTATACATATTTATATATGTATATATAGGCGAGCTAATAAGAATGACTTTTCAGTACAAAATGACAGATTAAAGTATAACTGAATTAATCATCTTAATGTCAGATAAGGTACCTGACTTTTAACAACTGGGTGACATATTTAATAGTAGTAATAATAATAACTTTATTCTGAAAAGTGAGTTATGAACATAGTACAGAATTTTCAGCTTGAGTCTTTATTGCCAAATATTTACTCCTTGTGCAAGATCTTCAAGTAACATGATAATAAACAGTGCATCAGTCGAAGCAGTATTGCTTGCTCCATTACCTCACGAGGGCTGCGCTTCATTCCTCCAAACCATCCACACAATGGTAGTTTGAAACCTCTTTGAAAATTTTCATAAGTGTAGGTTGTGTTCCAGAGATGTAATTAACTACATTTTAGTGGTTAGGCAGTATCCCTAATCATTAAACAACTTGTTTAGATGACTTTCTGGTGGTTGCTGACTAACATTGAAATCTACGATGTGCATTTCGTCCTATTTTGGACTCATCGCCTACATGCAGCTGCAGTGATGGTGTTAGTCACCATCCACTACATAACATCATGTTGATTCTTAGACATAGTCACAGCGTCCATACTATGAGCCGAGATGTTAATATAACCCGAACATATCTGTTCAGTCAGTCTACAAGCAAAACAGAACTGATTTACACAAATAACTTGATCAAATTGCAGTTCAACACTCAGAAATTCGAGTGTTGCATCAGTTGAATGTAGATTAGTCAAACTGGCAGCTAGTGTTTTGTTACCACAGATATATGAATGATCACTGGAATAACAATATCACGTGTAAAATAACTTAGTTTGTAAAGTGAACTTTCAATGAAAGCATAATTTCTTAAATAATGCCAAACTAGTTGCCTAAATAGGCAATAAAACATAAGCATTGCGCATAATATTACTTATAGTCAACCATTGTATAAAATGAGCCTACCACTCTTTTTTTCCTTCACGTTCCTCAGTGAAACATAGGGCTTCAAGCTAGTGGCTTGAAGTTTCTGTGGCAGTATTTATTATTTTACAGGATGGGGTTGCTAGCCTCATGCCCAACCTTTCCTCTTCACCAGCATTATTTCTGGCTTAGCGAGGTAAAGGATTGCGTCGGCCAGGGATCGAACCTCGGACCATGTGCATGCTCGGCGAGCGTCCTGACCGCTATGCCACCGATGCACAGCCTATCACTCTACTTCCAATAAAATGTTTGTTTCGTTGGTTACAATTACTACAATTTTAAGAGATTTATGAAGGAAACAAAAGACAAGTCAAAGAAGGGAATTTGTTCAAAAGGCGTAAAATCATACTTACATTTTAAGCGTTGGTTTGCTTGGATTTAATTGATTTCAAAATTGACCATGAACTGACTTTAATTAGGAAAGCATTAGAAGCCAGGGAGTACTCAATAGTCGTTTCGTACTTTTTGGGGCTCTTCAGCAGTACGCATTTATTATCCCACCAGAGATCGAACCCAAAACTTTGAAGTTGTAAGGTAAGCTCGTTAACCATCCTATTTAGTATTAATCAAGATCGTATGAAGTAGCAGGGGAGTGTAACATAGTCGGTAAAATTCCTCAGAAGTGGTTTCTACGGAGAAAAAATGAAGTTACGTAATAATCAGCAACACAATGGAAGTAAGGATTTGAAATTTGATAAGGTAAAAATTATTATCAAATAAAAACGTAAAGTGATTGAGTATCCACTTAACAATTGTGAAGACGATTAGAAAAAAGCCTATGAGAATATAACCAAGGTACATTTAAGAGTGATAATAGTGAATTACTCACTAGAAAGCCACTTAGAATTTAGGAGAAGTTGATGGTTTCAATAAGTAACAGAAAACACAAACACAAAAAATCTGTTTATTTTGTATGTGTTATTTTCAAAACAAAACAAAATGAACTTGAATACTTCTGTGTCTATTATTTCCAATACATTAATATTACTACATACATGCATGAATAGGTAATGCAGTATAAGAAACGCAATTCTGATTTGGAATTTGAAGTTGAACAGTTGAAAGCAGAGCTTGAAACGTCTAATAAAGTGGTGAGCTATGCTACAAATGGTTACTGTTCATTGTTGTTGAAAAGCTGCATGTTGTAACTATGTTGTTCTTCTTCAATGTCGTCTATGCATGAAAAAATTGTCCTACGTTTTGTAAAACACTTTGGAGTCACAATCTTATCAATAAAACGAACTTTTTAGTTTCTGTATTTGGAAATGAAACTCTATTCATATTCTATTTTTGAAATTTGTTTTACAGTTCCACATTAAATGAGTTTCTCTAACACGAACATACAGTCATACAATATTATATATGCTGATGATATTTCGAGCATAATATATTGCTCATAATCATATCAAGGCACTCACATAACTTTCAAACTTTGCTGATATCATTACAAAATATCTTATCCTTTGATATGATTGGCATTAATATTCTGCATATCTCTGAAATCGGCGTCACGTCATTCCCATTGAATGTGTTCGAAAAGGAAAGATTTACTGATCGACTTTTCCTCCACCCACTTAGAAGTGAAGCTCTAGATATTAAAAACTTTAAGTCATTTGTTATCGTAAAGGCAGGCTCAGTTAAGTTTCTAACAAACCAAGGGAAAACTCTAAGCTATACCTCCGAACACATAAATAATGAAATAGAATAGTTAAGAGAAATAGTGGTCTTAAATAACCAATCCACAAAAATTACTAGAAAGGAAACAAAAGTAGTACTGAAACTATTGACCATAATATGATTTTATTCTGATGGATTCTAGTAGCTCCCTTCATCAACTGATGTGAATTTAGAAATTTAAGAGAAGTATTAAATTGATGTCTACCTTCAGACTGATGGTATCACTGATGTCTCTTTTAATGCTTAAATCAAATGTACTTTAGGTGATCACGTTTTAAAGCGTTAATGGATTAGTTGTGAAAATTTCGTTACTTATGTTAGTTTATGTAAATTTTATCGTTTTATTTACATTGTGATGAACGATACTGTGAGGAAAAATCTTTGATATGTTAAAAGAAATTTATGCAGCTATTTTATCTACTGTTTCCGTTTGTGTTCAGAAGGCGTTTCTGTTTTATCATTCACATATGAGTCTGTGAATGTATGCCAGATGTTGATAGGCTAGTCAAACACTTTGGAACAATTTGGTCTCAATTCTAGGACAAATATAGTTCCATACACATGCCCAATAATACCAACAGCGGAAGCAGAACTACCAGTAGATGCCAAACCTCCGACGAAAGTAGAAGTCCTGAAGGCCATAAAGATGCTAAAAATTGGAAAAGAAGCAGGGCCAGACGGAATCCCAGCAGAAGTATTGAAAATGTACCCCAAGACATCAGTGGACTTGATGAAACCACTACTGGAGAAGGTGTGAAAAGAGAGCAAGGTACCTGCGGATTAGAAGAGAGGCTACCTATTCAAACTGCCAAAAAGAAGAAGACTTAAGTCGATGCAAGAACTGGCGTGGCTTTATACTCCTGTCTATTCCAAGCAAAATACTAACCCACATCATCCTGGAGAGAATCAAACATGCCGTGGATGAAAAACTTCGACCGGGACAGCCTGCATTCAGGAGGAGCAAGTCATGCATCGATCAAATCGCAACACTACGTATCATCATTGAACAGAGCTTGTAATGTCAGTCACCTCTCTACATCAACTTCATCGACCTTGAAAAGGCCTTCGACAGAGTCGATCGAAGGGTGATGTGGAAACTATTTTGTTACTACGGGGTGAGGCCAACAATTATACACCTCATCCAACAGTTGTACGACGATGCTGCATGGCAAGTAATTCATAGCGGGAAACTCATGGGATCCTTCGAAGTTAAGATGGGAGTAAGACAAGGCTGGCTGGCTGCCTACTATTCTTATGAACTAGGCGACTGTATGACTTAGGATCTTAGGATCTGTAGTGACTACCAGAAAAGAGTATGTCCGAGTAACTATGTTATGTGATGTTTAATTTCATCATTATGCAAAGTCGACATGTAGATGAGATACTACTTTACTGGCATTAATGAGTCAACTTGGGAAAAAATTCAGTTTTAATGAAAAATTCATCAAATATACAGTGTTAAATTGAATTAATAAATAATATTTGTCACCAGAAATAAGTAGTAATTTAAACATACCTAAATGAAAAGCAAGGGGAACATAGCTCAATAAACCTAGTTATGCGTTAATAAAAACACTCATACCACTCAACTGATATCATTTCACGGTAATTGGTTTGCAAAATCATAAGTATGAAAGTTATCCAAGCTTAAACTACAGATTCCGAAATCTACCAACAAAACATGTATTGAATTAGAAGTATAACGATATACATATGCTTATAACATGTGCTAGTTACTGACGCTCGTACTCTTGCATTTATGGATAAATGCATTAAATGTTATATATTTCTATAGTTGGTTTGTAAGGATTATCTTGTTTTTTTACGAGTTGATCACGGATTGATATCAGTTAGGCAACCATTGAAAACCAAGGAGTACTGGACAGCTGTTTCATCCCAGTTTGGGAGTAATCAGCAGCACGCACCCACCCAATTCAGTGGCCCATGATTTCTAACTCCGACCAATTACATTGGTTGGTGGTTGAGCTAGAAATCACAAACTGGTAGAAGTTAGAATCCATGAACTGGTCATTGGATTCGCTTCCAGCGGTTGAATGGTATACGAGCTTGCCTTGTAACCGGAACGTCCTGGGTTCGAAACGTGGCGGTGGGTGCGTACTGCCGATGGTTCCCAAACTAGGATGAAACAGCTGTCCAGTACTCCTTGCTGGTTTTCAATGGTTCTCTAACTGATATCAATCCGTGATCAACTCGTAAAAATGTTTTATCGTTATTGTACCGGTGAGTCCCTTTTTTCGATGTTCTATTTTTTGATGAGTTTTAGCAGATACATGTTTTACCGGTAACCAATTTTCTTTAAAATTTGTAGTATTTTAGCGATTTAACTTTCCTATACAACCTTCTCCACTTTTCTGTCACTTATCTAATAAAATGCACCGGTTTCCTATTCATGTTCATTAAGTCACGTACTGTATATAACCGACTTTTTTATCCATTTTAACCTAAAGCTTCAAACAACTACAGAGACGCTGAATGCTCGAATCGATGTTGCTGAAACAAGATCAAGAGCATTAGAACAAGAGCGTTCATATGATATTGAAAATACTGTGAATAAATTACAAGAAGAACAACAACGGTAAGTAGAGTAAATCGTTTCAAAAATTAATCTCAAATCAAGGTTAATGAATTTACATAACCATATAACTATTTCGTCAAATTATTTCTCTTAATTATTATCATATTACTATTCAGTAATGAGTTGTTTTACCCTGAAACTGTAGCAATCGAACACTATATTTCAAAGTTAAAAACGTTTTTAATTTTTTAAATGGTATCTTCAATCTTTGAGAATAAAATTAGCAGCCTAGTTAGTGATGCACATTGAATTTTGTAACTGATAATACTGCGAAGGTAATTATAAACAGTAGTGATGTTTTCAAGTACTTACTTTGTAGAAATCTGATTAATCACATACTGACTTCAGTTAAGCAATCATTAAAAACTGAGAAGTACTGGACACTCCTGTCCTAGTTTAGAATTCTTTAGCAGTACTCACACCTGATCAAACCATGGACTCTATCCTAAACCTTCAGTTTATTAGGGGAGCCAGTTAGCGACAGAGTTTAATGCCTCATTAGTTCTACCTTTTATCAATTTGCGATACATATAGCTACTACTGAGAGTCAGCGCCTACGTCAAGTGTTTGCCGAGAACAGTAGGGTCTACCAGATCGCCATTATTTTAAATTACTTGTTCTGTAGATCTTCCTAGCTTATGGAAAAAATCCGACGACTGCAGATCTATATCAATCTAGAAATCAAAAAAATTAAATTATACTCGTGGTTCTGTATCGACGTGTGAGAAGCCAACAACCAGGTTACATTATTAAGGTATATCAGCAAGCTCCTTTAAAAAGTTTAACGCGAATCAATCAGTACAGACATCAGAAACTTTTCAGATGAACTATTCAGACTGAGGCTGAGTTATTTGTAAAATGTACCTAGTACACATGAATTCCGATTGTTTCTGCTAAATGTAAAAGACTAAACAAATACGATAATTAACTTAAAGCTTCGTTATTGCCAACCCGATATACTGTATTCACCAGATGAACTAGTATTCACCTGCGTTTAGCTTTATTCCATCCTTTGTCTTACCAAGATGAACTTGACTAATTGTAAACCGGATGTAACTAGCTCCACAGGAGCAGTTAAAGTGATAAATACACATGGAGGAGGCGGAATCAAGCACTTTTTCTTTGTTTGACGGATTAAGTAGTCGTTGGCTGATGAATAAGTAACATAACTTAGCTGCGTTAAAAAGGTTTTTAAGGTAATTCTCAGACGTTGCGAATCAATCTCTTTGTTCTCTCATGCAAAATTCCCATTGTAACATATTGAAAATCAAAACAAGTGATTCAGCGAAGAGACTCTTTTCAACAAATTGATCATCAAGCTGTACAATCGTATATGTATGGTTTTTTAAGAAGTTGTATCCAGTGAGGGATTGAATCATAGGTGTGAATGCATAAAATAATAATGATAATAATAATAGTATGAAATGGAATTAAAATTAAAATATTTGTGATTATAATCATAGTTAAATGTCAAGTGGTAAAACAAATAAATGTCATATATAGAATAATTCATAGGATGGATAGAACTTGAAAAAGGATGTGCAATTATAGGATTAGTAGACAAATCGAATAAAATAAAAACGTTACGTAATATTATGTGAAATTTGATAGCATAGAAATTAACGTTGTAAGAAAAAAGAATTGATTGAGAATGACAAGTGGAACAAGTGAAATAATACCGGGAACAATTCAAAGTGAGAATAGTAATAGTAACAATTGACGTTGTAAACGAAGAGAATACAAACTGAAAAGACAAAATGAAAAATTGGTAGAGCCATAATGTGATTAGGGATTACCATGCCTTAGCATAGAGGGATTAAGACCATGAAAGTCGGAGGGGTTCAGTGAACTTTTTCTGTATACAGAGATCTGCCTTTTCTGTTTCAATAGCCAAAGCTTTAGCAATACATATAAGTCGGGTACATAGTTAGAAAAGAGTCTCTTTGATGAATCTCTTCGCTGACAGCTGCCATGAATAGCAGTCTTATGAGAACTTTAAGACTAATATAAAACTATACATTTATATATATATTACTGTAGAGACGTTGATGAGGAACTAATTGGAAAGGACTATATATTTCTTCGCTAAATTTGTTGTTTATTTCTAAATGCGTAAATGGAAACTGTTCAGTAACTTAGACACCGACTCCAATGACTACCAAATTTGATTATGTTCGTTGGTGGCACAGCGGTTATGACTCTCATCGATCATGCACATAGTCCGGGGTTCAATGCCCTGCCGACGCACACCTGATATCTATGGGCTACCGATATCACATGCTGAAAATTCCATGCCTGTACCAAAAAATACGGTGTGGAATCAAGCTGTAATAAAAAATTAAAAAATAAATAAACTGTATACCATCGCAATATGAATTCATTCTTTCTATCATTTTCTTTTTCTTATAATATTAGATCTAATGAATTATCTCGAGCTAATGAACTATTACGTGATCAACTGGAACAAGCTGTTCAAGCTAATCAAGGTTTAAGTCAAGATGTTGCACGTTTAACATTAGCATGGCGTCATGCAGCACAACAATTAGATAAACGTGAATCTGAATGGCGTGAAGAAGAAAGTGCATTTAATGATTATTTTGCTGCTGAACATAGTCGTTTATTATCCCTGTGGAGAGCCGTTGTCGCTTTAAGACGTCAATTCGCTGATTTAAGACAACAAACTGATAAAGATTTAACTAATGTAAGTTATACTAATCTCATAAAACTGGTAATTATTTAATTACTTAATAATTACAAGCTGGTATAAAATGGTGTCCGATTTCCGTCATATGCGCACTATGGAAGAGACCCAAAATAGGGCGAAACCGCTCTCCAGGACTCACTGGTTTTCCAGTTGTTCTGTGAGTGATGTCAGCTCAAACTTAAATCAACTCTAATCTTGCAAACCAAATCTTGAAAATCACAAACAAACGTTATTCGTTACTATTGACAGCTACGAAACGAATTGTTATCCTTGTATTTTGGAAAGAAGTTGTACAAATACTCTTTGAACGCACAGATTTAGCTTGTTCAAATTAATTCCGACTGTAAGATATTTCTGGATGTGTCTTCTTTATTCACCGATGCACCTTTCATGTAAACAGTGGGTCATGTATGTAATGCATTCATAACGGTATAGAGACTGATTTTCTATTGTCATACTTTAAAGACCTTCTCTTAGGATGCATGAAGGACATAAATTTTCTGTTCAATAAAAATATGTATGGACAATCACATGGTGTTGCTACTAGGTGCAATCCTACCAGACCGTTTTCTGGAGAATCTAAAGAATGGCCTTCTCAGAACATGTAATAAACTATCTGAATTTCTATTGTTATTATGTAGATAATGATACATCTGTAATCTTAAGAAACGACAGTGTGGCGTATTGGAGAAATTTAACAAAGCTCATTGAACAATAAGTTGCACCAAAGAAGATGAATAGAATAACTCTATCTCGTTTTTTGAATATTCTAATGACGAAATGAAAAGTTCATTAAAAAATACACTAAAAAAATTAGCCCCTGTAAAACTATCCAAACAGTTCCGAAGAAATCTGTCTATACCAGTTTGCCACTCAAAGGAGATGATGTACAAGAAGTAGTCAAACGAAGACTCGATAAAGCTATCAAGAGAACTTATTATGCTACAAAACTTGCTTTCCTTAACACCACTAAGCGAGTGCTCCAACAATCTGGGAAAGACCACTAGCCAATCCTCGACACTTCAAAATGCGTTTGTCGATTTGAGTGTGTTTGTGGAAGGAAATACATACGTTGTACAGAAAGGCAATTGTCTACTCGCATCATGGAGCGTTTGCCAAAATGGTTTAAAACAATTGAATGCAAAGTGCCAAAAACCTCAATAACAAAACATCTTGTGGACTATGGACATGATCTCAAGGCTGTCAAGTCATTCACTATTGTCAGCAGACAAAGAAACAGGAAGATGCTTGCAATTGCAGAGGCTTGTGCAATTCGAGTTTATAAACCAGGTCTCTGTGTACAAAAGGAGATGGTCGTCACTCTAAATCTACTATGGTAATAAGTCTTACTTATTATTCTACCTCTTATTATTATTATTATTCTTGATTCATTGAAAACTATCTTTTATCAGTAGCATTATGTTAACTCACTCCAACACTATTATTATTAATGTCATTATAACTATTACTATTGATATTACTCTGTTTGCAATTCTTGATATATTCTCTAATGACGAATTGTTTATCTAAGTGATGTAATTGAAGCGCAATGCAATTTGGAAACATTTATTTCCCGATACGAATTTAAAACAAGCAATAAAGGTTAATGCAATTTATCTTAATTTTGATCTCCCATACTCTCTCTCCCCTTATCTAATTGAACATGACCTGGAAAAACATTCGCACCTGTCTTTCTGCATGACTAATTCAATGTAGTTTATTTACTTGTCAGTCCTATATCTCCCAATGTAATTTCAATAGTATATATATCCGTGTATGCAGAGTATTCAGCTGACGAGTTCTACCGAAATTTGATGAAATCATTAAATCATCCTGCTTTATTAACCTCTGTTGCTTGTTTTACAAAATGAGTCGATGGGAAAATATGTAAAATTTTACATCGGAAACCTTTATCATCTGGGCAGCAAACTTTATGAGTTTCGTTACTCTACAATACAAAAGCATTCTGGTTAGATGTTTGATTCACAGTGGTAGATCTTTTTGTGCGGAAGAAACGCCTATCAAAGAAGTTGGTAATATTCGTTTTCCATCAACGCAAACAAATATCAGATTTAGCAAGTAAGAACTTCAGAATGCCTAGAGTTCCGGAGAAATCATTGTTCCTAAGACTGTATTTCAAGGGAGACGTCAACAGCAAGACTGTATCCCAATTTTCAACAAGGACCTTCAAAAAGACCTTTAACACAACTAAATCACCAGCCAACCAATAATTAGTTCATGAAATAAAGACAAACTGCCTAATCCTGCCTCTTCTATGTGTACTTATTAGTTTAAATGGTTCTGTGGAGCTAATTAAATTGGGTAAACAATTAGTCAAGTTTATCGTCGAATTTCTGAACACTTTCCATCTTGGTTAGACAAAGGATGGAATAAAGCTAAGCGCATGTGAATACTAGTTCATCTGGTTAATACAGTACAGTAGTTTGATACTAACAAAATTTTAAGTTACTCATTGTATTCCACTCGACCTCTCTCATGCTGTACAAGTACATCTTTCACACATAGCAGAGGTAGTTGGATTTTATCTGGAGAAGCCAAAACTGTGCATTTAAGACTCACTAAATGCGTCCATCTGAACGCTTTTAGACATACATTTTCTTCTTAAGAAATTTCGTGAAACCGTTAGAAAAAAGTGTATCATCTACTTATTATAGTAGATGTTCATTTCAATTTACTACTGTTTTGCCTTACCAAAATCACTTCTTCCAACGGAGTTTATCTGAAAAATGTGTGTAATGTATTTGCACAGTACATTGTGAATAGCACGATCACATATTCTCTGGTAAGTTCACTTTACATGAAAAATGAAAGGTTAATTAAAATTAACAAAATGGAGGATTTGAGAGGAAGCAGAATAATATTTCATAACGATATAAGGATGACTAAGGTATGTTAACGGTGACAACTGATTGTCTTTGTGCATGCAGTAGAAAGGTCTTAATGGTTTATGGTTGGCTATCGTCATGACGTACTTCAGTATGCGACTGTAACGGCTTTTATAGATAATCTTTAAGGGTGTTTTGATATCAGTCTTGTGAATCATATCAATTGAATATTTCGTTATAGACAAAAGTTGATACTCTGCCACCTGTGTTTATCGAGGTATCACGTTTGATTTGCTTTCAAGCCATTTGAGCACATGTTCTCCCATCTTCATGTGCATAGCGCGATTTCTCTTCCTTGTTTGTGTGTCACCCCTTCACACACACACGTAAGTAGGTATAAAATGTGGGATGTGACAAAATCACGTGTGGAATGTTGAGGCATATATCAGGGCAAGTTTTCGGCTTTTTCAATAAATAATAAACCATGCTACGTGGTATGTTTTACAGGTGGTACGTCTCTGTCTTATAGTCCTACTTTTTATTTCCCTATCGTAAGGAAATTTTGGTGTGGATATCTTTCTTTCAGACGAAATAGACTGTAGGCTGTGAAACTAGCTGATCTCTACACCGGTTTAAAACTTCAAAGTATACCTAATTTCGTCAAGTGCATCCGTATAAATACGCTGAGATCTCATAAATAACCATGTGAACAAGCCTTTTTTATATTTTAATGGACAAAAACTGTGAAAATTCGACTGAAAATAAAGAGTATTTACTAAGTTATTCAAAAGATATAGGATTATGAATGAACTAGAATTTAAATGCATTTAATCTAACATATTTGAATAACCTAGCAATATGTCATTCACCTTCAGTGTGAAAATCGAACTGCGGCCCCATCCAAGTAGGCTTTCTATTTATGAACTGCATTACTGAGTATCTTGTCTCTAACTCAAAAGCATGTTTTGACTGGACACTAGTCAATGACTGCTGCAGTTTGTCTAGTCCTTTGTTTGGTGCAGACTGAATTCTATCAGTCAAGTTTGCCATGTGGCCACTTTACCACTAGATAGCTTGCCATCAAGGTACACTTTGAATGGTTGAAATTATATGGTTGAAGGTAGTCGGCAGGAAGCCTTGGACCTAGGTTTCGTACTAGTTAGCACTCATCAATCAGAAAGGCGTATCTGCAACCTTGAAGGAACTCATGTCCCTGCTGGGATTCGAACTGGCGTCAGAGATGTCAGAGATGTTACCACTAAGCTATTCTGACTCGCAATCGACCTCATGTAGGACTGTAGTGGATAGTTTAATTGTACACTAGTTAGTCCTTTGTTTGGTCATCACATCTTCATTAAAACGTAGTTAATTCACTTCCCTTGCAACGTATCATTAATTAATTGAACTGTTTGTTTACTTCAGTCTTTATTGTTATTGGCATTATTATTGATAGGATGATTATTATTATTACTATGACTAATTGCAGAGTTTGTATGCACATTTGTCGCATCCTATTGACACATCACCATGAGTGGCTTACATTTAATATTTATTGATGAAATTATGTAGTTTAGAGTTAAAGCCTATGAGATCTAAATGAAAACAATGCTGTTACCTTGCATGTATTATTCTACATAGATTCTAATAAAACCTTCCGAGTTAGGTTCTAATGATATGATAGTGCAGAAAATTCCCATATTATGAATTAAAAGTCAATCTGAACGAAGAAAATTCTTTTCAATAATTTCTCTTCAGGTTCTTACAATTATAAAATGTAATATTTGTTATCATTACAATAAAGGCCAGTTATGCGGCAGATACATTTTTTAACGTAGAATAACAGATTAGTTATGGGGTGTCAAAATAAATAGTCGTATTTGTGTGACAAACGTGCTAGGCTGAATTCGATTACAAAATATTGTTAAACGGGAGACAATGGTGGTGATTAATCATAATAGATTTGTAGAGTGTGGGGTAGGAAAATTGACAAGTCAGTCCAAGGTTATAAAAGTTGTCAGGTGAGTGGCTAGTACAAAGTGGTCTGTGTTAAACAGGAGATAATAAGACTGCAATGAGAGGTGCATAATGAAATAACGAATATGTGAAATGAAACGGATGGAGGCATATATTGAGAAAAGAGATGATATCACTAATAATAAGTCCGGATAGTATAAACGAAAAAAAAAATTCGATAGTATTGAGAGAATGTTTGCATGAAGGGCATAAATTATGACGAATAGTAATAATATTTGTAATAATAAGCAAAGGAAAAAAAGCCGAGAGGGTTAAGGGGAAGGAGCACTCTTGGTGAGAAGAAGAATCATCAATTCAAGTTTGGCCACGGTAGGAACAGCGCCTGGACGTGTTCTTTTTGGATACAAAGTTCCGGTTTAGTCGATCTTATTGCAACAGTTTCAGCTATGTGTAGAAGACGTAAGCGAACTGTACGTGATAAAGACTTCGGAATTCGGTATATAACCCTGAAAGCTGTGTTGACATTGATATGATGTTCAGTATCGACCAAGTGTGACAGGATCGAGCTTTTTATGCACTTAATTTCCCCCCTACTGAACCAAGCTGGTAAATGTTCTCGAACCCGTAGACGAACCTGTAAGAACCTGAAGAGAAATTATTGAAAAGAATATTCTTCGTTCAGACTGACTTTTAATTCTAATGATATCTTTAAACCTAATAGTATGAAGAGCGAACCATGCCTCTAGAATACTTTGATTCACTGTACTAAGTACATCTTTGTGTTAAACATTATCCCAATCGACTGTGATAAGAAATATTGCAGAAATTCTGGTAGGGTCAAGAGTTGTAGGAGAGGACAGTCTATTTGCTTACTATATGTGCTAGAGATCAGTAGATATTTAATCAATAAATATTATCTCACTTATAAAAATAGTTCATTATTATTTTTTATTTATTTTATTCCCTCTGTTTGTGCATAGACTCGTACAGAATTCACTCGTTACATAGGCAATATTCAGTCAGCATGTAACAATTTAGAGGCAAATTTACGCTCTGCTGAAGCACAGAATCAAGCAAGTCAAGTGAAAACAACCAGTTTTCTTGAAACCGATATGGCTAATCGTATACAAGGCTTAAGTGAATCATTAGCACGTAGTCAAGCACGTCTAGCTGAAGCAGAATCTAAGCTTACTGAGGCAATGACAGCTAAAGAAAGACTTGCAACACAGGTATGTATAGGCAATAAATGTATGTAACTATATCTTAGAATGTATTCAATGTTGAGAAAAATTTGTGAATGATGTAAATGTTTAGTAGAATCTCCAAATTACTTTTACCAGTCTAAACACTCATTCGATTCTTGTCGAAATTCGTCATGGTACATAATATAAGATTGGTCTTTACGTACTTTTTGTCTAAGTGTTACCGGATGAATAACATTACTGTGGTATAGGCAAAAGTCATCATGGAAATTCACCAATCAAATTTAGAATGAAGCGATCACCGTCCGATGTGACCTGTTTAAGAAAGTTGCAACTCATTGACAGGTAATCGGTATTTAAATTTTCACATCTTTGTGTCATCCAACAATTAAGATATAGTGTTTTTACGACTTGATCATGGATTGATATTAGTTAGAGAACCACTGAAAACCAGGGAGTACTGGATGGCTGTTTCATCCTAGTTTGGGACTCTTCATCAGTACGCATCCAATGGGGTTCGAATTAGGACGAAACAGCTATCCAGTTCTCCCAGATTTTCCTGTGGTTCTCTGACCAATGTTAGCTCATGATGAGGTCCTCCAACCAATCAGACAAAATTTCTACAAACCGATACTTGAAAACACATTGTAATTGCTAAAACTACCGTGAGTTCGGAAGATTTCTGTGACAGTACTTCAAGCAGTAATACTGATTGAAGGGAGTCTTTATCTTTTATAAAGCGAACCCGGGCATGACAGTCAAATAAACCGAGAAATTCGGAAGAAAATATTCACATAATCAAAGATAAAAGCTGAAATCTGAGGAGTAAATGTTTTTTAATTCAGTAAATACCCCTACTGAGGAGAAAACGAAAGAAATTTAGGCATATTTTTGAAATTGTGCGAGTATTTTTAAGTCGAGTATAGCTTGAATCAAGTTACTGATGTGCGAATTGAGTTTCTCATAAACCTCATTCAACAAATATGTGACCAGTGAAAGCTGATTTAAGCGTTTAAAATGAAGGCAAGAGTATGATAAAGCTACCTTCTGTCACCAATGATGATCCTAATTGTGGTGAGTTGTATCATGCCCATGTATCATGGACAGAGAATACGAATCTGAATTCCCTGAACTTTGCAGATAATCTCTGTCTAATACGGCACAAACTTAACCATCTACAGGCAAGAACCAAAACATCGTGGGGAGTGGCAGAGAAGACAGGACTTTAAACAAGCACTGAGGAGATAGAGATGTTGAACGTACCTAACCAAGAACAACAACAAAAATCACACATCACCCTCAAATGGAGAAAACTGGAAGAAAATCACCTCTATAACTCATTTTTTAAACTACAGGCGAAACAGTTGGAAGCGCCAAAAGCAGGATCGGAAAAGCCAGATGGGCATTCAATACTTTGAAATCAGTTTGGAAATCTGCTGCAGTATTCATAAGGAATAAGATTCGGATTTTAAACACAACTGTTGCGTCAAAGAAGTGAAGCGCGCGTCACCTAAAGCATTGTCAAAAGGCTGCAGACTTTGTCAACAGCTGTCTTCTCTGGATCGATGGCGAAGAGCAGATGACCAGGAAGAATTAGCAGCAAGGAACTCTAACAATGAACCAACTAAGAACTTATCACCCTACAAATATTAGGAAGGAAACTGAGATGGATTAGAAATGTGCCAAGGTGGCCGTTGGGTGAGTTCACGTACCAGACCCTCGAGGGGAACCTGAGTGAGGAATAACGAGTTGAAAATGTTCCTGCGGTTGACTAAGAAGACATTATATGAACGGAAAATGCAAGCTTTTGAGTATTCGTGTAGCCTAGCAGAAGTTCTGCAGAAAACAGATTTAACTGGTGATGTACTGCTGAATCCCAATGTTCCCATCAGAACCCAGGGGAATAATAATAATACAATAATAAATGGAGTTTTGCTTATATCAAATCACTCTGGAAAATATGGTAGTAAGCTATGAAATGCCTGAGAATTTCTGTAGCTTAATTTGCTAGTGTTCAATCTGATTTACCTTCTGAGCTTAGCTTCTGATTAGTAACCATTCCAACATTACAAAAATTTGAATAGCTTTCTGCTTTTAGGCAGTTTTCTTTTACTATTCAGTTGTGCTTTTGATCAACTTGCTCAAGTTTAGATATTACGACTCGACCTACAAGATAATGTTAGACGTCACTGTGTTTCCGATAGCAGTAATTCTCATGTGACCGAAATACACTGCCTTGCAGTATGTGGTGAATAATTATCAAAAGCGTTAATTGTCTTAGTAAAGTGATTCTTAAACAACTATAGTGTACAGCTTATTTATTTGCTTCGCATAAGGAAGAGTCATTTGTAAACAACCTTTTGGAGTTTATGGGAGTCAAGTGAATCAATGTTTAAAGCCTGCTAAAGTTACAAGGTCTTCTGAGTCACTTCAACATTAGACGAAAATAAACTCAAAGAGTGACAGAAACCTACAGTTATCTTGAAGTCACTAATGCGCATGTGGACTAATCAGCCTCATAGTATTGTGGATTCATGCGATAAGCATCAAATATTTCTCTAAATTAACGAACACACAAGTTAGAGACTTTCGCTATTGAATTATTCTTGTCCTACATTTTTGTTTTTGTGTTTTTCTAACAGCTTGCTGAAAGAGATCGAATACTCACTACAATGAAACAATTACACTCTAATTATGATTTAGATTCATTATCAATGAGAAGTTCAAAATCGCTGAAACGCGGAAAACGTCTTCACGACTTATTAGATACAGCTGTAGATATTGGTAAACAAAACGATGGCCTATCAGAACTTGCTTTAAGCACTGATGATGAAGATGATCATTTGAAAGCAACAAAACGTTTGATTGAGCATACACATGTTATGCATCATGCCTTGAGTCAAATAGCACAGGTATTTATCTTCAAATGATTTAAATTTATTTCAGTAAAGTATAGAAAACACTGTAGAGGTTGAATCTCTAGTGATAATATCAAATTAATTCGTCTCATTCTTATAGATTCTATTGCATTGTATTATTATTTTTCTATCTCAAATACATTACTACGATTTGCTGCTTCTGTTTCGTGTGGAATATGTGGTCATAGTGGCATATTTCTTCAAATATATATTAGTGTTCAGAAAACATTAGATAAGCCCATCATGTTGGTAGGCTTTTCTGATGCACAGGATAATAGATGGACAATAATTCGAACGCCGTCATCCCAATGTAGCTTGGATAATACAAGAATTAACAAAATGTATTGATTACATGAAATAACTTTGATAGATAAACAAACCGAAGTTAGCCTTCCAAGTAATGAGATGATTTAAATGTAGATTAAACACTGCAATATTATGTAAGAGTTTGTTTGTCGGGATTTGATCCATTTTAAGTTTGATCAGCCATTGATATCAATTAGAGAAATACTGAAAATCAGGGAGTACTGGATAGTTGTTTCGTCCTGTTATAGGACTTATCAGCAAAACGAACACATTAGAGTTCGAATTCACGGTTACAAGGCGGGTTCATGGACTATTCAGCCATGGAGACGCGACTCAGTGGCCTATGATTTGTGAATCCTACCACTTCATGATTTTATCTCAGCAGGCACCAGTGAATGTGATCGGCAAGTAGTTGACGTCACACCCCAATTGGGTGGACCCCGTTGATCATGACTTCCAAGAAGGTCTTGGGTTCGAGACTCGGTGGGTTCATGCTGCCAGTTAGGTAAAAGGACCCTGTTGACCCAATTAGACAAAATAATATAATTTACAAAATAACTTGCAAGGACTGCGAGTTCAGTTACATAGATGAAACTAGTAGATCGATGGTAGTCAGAATGACTGACTCCACGAAGATAAGTAAGTTAGAAAAAAGCTCAGCAGTTGCATTGCATGCATTAACACACAACTACAATATAATGGGGTGGGAGAGTGTTAAAGTTCTAAAAAGTAATATAGGTAGGTGAAGGGTAAGACAGAGGTTGATTACTGACTCTTTGTTCATAGAATCTACACCCAACAAGTTCAACAGGAATACACATCACTCATACCGGAAATTTGAAAAATTTTACAACCAATCAAATCAAGAGATGAGAAATTATAGAATTACATAAACGAAGTCAGAAAGTTGTGTGTGTGACCTGGTATAGTTATGAGCAATAAATTGTGTTCGAAACGCCATCAGTAAATATTACTGTACAACACTGTGTGATTTATCAAAATAAAATCTTATCCACAATGGAGTTATACTCTACCAAAGTGCCCAAATTTTATCCTTAGATCCACCATGTTAAGTTGAAGTTGATACTCATCGAAAGCACTGGTTGGAAGTATAGCCATATCACGAACCGAATTTCAACTAAGGTGGCTTAATAGTCTATGAGCTTTACCTCATAACCTGAATGTCCTGGCTTCAACCCTAGGTGGAGCAGTGTCTACGTACTTCTGTTGAAGTTTCTCTATGGCTGGCACAAAGCAGACTGCTCACAAATCTGCTGGTAGAAAGGCCCCAATAAAGCAGCCGGCCACCAACGCTTTCCATAAAAGTTCCCCAACTACTGGGGGCGTTAAGAAACCACAAAGATACTGGCCAGGACCTGTTGCTCTCCATGAAATCCACTGTTACCATAAGAGCACGGAAGCCTTGATGCCAGAAGCTCTGTATTCACCTCGAAAAGCAAAGCGATGAAAATAAATAACAAAAGTTATCTAACTTCATTTCAAAAAGCCAGAAATAAAAGCCACTCTGTTGAATGAAATCTTCTTTGTCGATGAAATCGTCCACAAAGTTTATGCAGTTGTATTGATATTAACCAAAACGTATAGGATCCTATTATTGAAAAACAGAGGGTGACATTATTGGAACAGCTACTCAGAAATGGCTTTTAATGAATGAAAAAAGAATCGCGTAATAGTCAGCGAAACAGTAGAGGTAAGGATTTAAAATTTCATATGGCAGACAAATGTGAACAAATTGAGGGCAAATAACAGTAAAATGTATGGAAGGAACATGTTGAAAATAAGAATAGCGTACTGATCATTAAAAATAGAAGCTAACGAGTGAGAAAGCGCTTAAAACGACAGTCACATGGAGTTCGAGGTAATAATGAGGGATCTCTAACGCCTCCGCCGTACACAAGTGCCGAAACCTAACACCCGTTGTACCATTTGGTAACCCCCTTATGCTCAATAATAGATTACTAAACATTTCTGGTAAGTATAAATACCATGGTACAGTCCCTGATGGTGATTTTTACAATGAATTCGCTGAATTATCTTTCATTGTACAAATTCACGTAATGTGTTATTTCACAACCTGTCCTGGCACCACTGAACAGACTGTTACATTGCAAGATACAGCATGGTTAACTGAAGATTATCTAGACAAGTTTTTCTACGAGTATGTTTCATGAATAAAACAGACATAATTATGATTAGTACTTCATATACCACATGCATTTTTTCTTAATTGACGATGCTTGCTTCCAGAAAACAGAAAATACACAGAATCTTTAACAAAAGTCTAGAAACTCTAACTAAACCAACCAGATACGGCTCTCAATTCTAAATGAAACCTACCCAAACTTGACATCTTAAGTGATAAGCAGATTGACAAGTGTTGTCCATCTTATGCATGCTGGGATGTTATCCAGCAGAAGGGAAGCAATTTACTAGCCTGTAATACTTCTTGAAAAACACTTTATTTAATATAAATCTGAAAGCTTTGATATTTTTAAAAATATTGAAAAGTACTTTTTTATAAACTAAACTCTAAAGGGGCAAGAACAGACTGAAGTAATTGGACGCAATTTTGGATAAATTTCTGTGTTATGTTTGTTGACTACCTCTCATCTTTGTTATTCTATGCATTCTTCTGTTTCAGTTAATTATTTGGGATGCAACAATTGCTGATACAGACGAAGCACATGAACCCATCTTAAATCTTCAAAACCCTGATTGGTCCAGTACACGTGTTACACCGTATTCAGTAGAATCAAAACAGGCCACTTCAGAAGCAAGCGGAGATACTAAAGGCCAAACAACGCCTGCAAATGAATCAAGTGATCCAAATCAACAAGGGAATAAAATTCCCTACGCTAAACCAGATGACATTTCTTGTCTACGCCGATTAGCACATTCGAAATATCAAGCTGGTTCAAGTTTACACTTGGCTGAATCAACAGTCAGTGCTGTACAGAGTGCTTTGAATAGACGCGCAACTCATGTAAGTTGGAGGTCACTAGCAATTTTGCTATATTCTTCGTCAAATGCAAGCATAAATGAATTGTGAAACATAAGGCTAATATAAGAATAGAACTTTGGCACCGTGGTAGAGTATAGTTCCATCATAGAGTAAATTTATTTGATAAAATCACCCGGAGATGCGGTGAAATTTATTGCCTAATAATCCAAAAGATAGTCTATGTCACAATATATTATCAGTAAAAGATAAGTACCCCTCCAAACTTTGTGCTGGCAACCTGCTTGCATTACTGGAGTGTCCGAATTTCCATCCAACACATTGCATCAAAGTAGCACCACTTTTTTATTGTTTTAATCACTCACTTATATCGTTGGGTCTTTTGGTAGTTTGTCCGATACCCCGATAGATGACAGAAAAACGTCTTTCAGCACAATCTTTATGGCCCATTTAGACCAGGGGGCTAAATATCGAACTGTTCATGGCTTTTTATTTCCTTCACGTTCCCAGTGGAACTTAGGGCTTCAAGCTAGTGGCTTTTACAGGATGGGGTTGCTAGTCTCATGCCCAACCTTTCCTCTTTATCAGCATTATTTCTGGCTTAGCGAGGTAAAGGAGTGCGTTGGTGGCCGGGTATCGAACCCCGGACCATGTGCATGGTCGGTGAGCGTCCTAACCGCTTTGCCACCGACGCACATGGCTTTTACTACATTTTTATTTAGCCACACTGTTAGGCATTCCTCAGAAGGTATCAAGTTAGCATAATACATGTGTAATTTTCTTTACTTATTTATTATTATCCCCTTCAGTTATGAGTGTAAAAAAGAACTTCGTCAGCACCCCTTCGTTTCACTTAATTCGCTACAGTCTTATTTAGCTGGTTTTCCGACTGCTCATAAAATTTCATTTCCTCCTCGTGTCGCTCTCAAACACCTAACCCTTCGTCCGTCACTCAGGTCCCAATCGACCGCCTGCAACATGATTTCACCCAATCACCCCAGTGCATATTCATTCACTTCTGTGTCTTTGTTGAGCGATAGATTGTTGCCTTGTTCTCTGTCTGTCAAGGATCCTAAGTGCTTGTTCAAGAAGATGTAGAAAATACAAATTTTACTTTTATTATCACTTGGTGCTCTTCATATAGGGTAGATTTACGCACTAAACAACACAGATATAGGCTGTTCTATTGGCTTTAAATTGTTCACATTTTACCAATTAATTATCAAATTATTCAAATCATACATTATCGAAGGCCTGCAAATACGCCTTGCTGATGAGTGCAAACTAGCATGAAACCTAGGTCCATGGATTCTTGCCGATCGCCTCCAACCATCTAATACCAACAATTCACAGTGCACTGTGATGGCGCGCAACCTAATGGAATAGTGACCACATTGCAAGCTGAATTATTAGAATTCAGTCTGCACCGAAGATAGGACTAGACACACTACGCTAGTTACTGACTAGTGTCCAATCAAAAATATCCTCTACAGTCCTACAGGACGTTAATCGTGAGTTGGAATTGCTCGGTGGTAACGTCTCTGACTGAAGGCGGCATTGGGTGACGCGGGTTCAAATCTCATAAGGGACATGGGTTCCTTCGCAGTTGCAGATACTCCTTGCTGATGAGTTCAAACTAGCATGAAACATAGGTCCATGGATTCCTGCCGACTGCCTCTAATCATATACTACCAACAATGTATTACCGAGTCAGTATATTGTGAACTTATGTAACTTTTGAAGCTAAATACCCCTCTGAAATTGAGTACTACTACTTACGAAGTATTATTATCATATAATTCAGTCTGTTAATTAAAATACTTCGTTTCTTTTACGCGAATGATTCATTTCTGTCTCAGTTTGTTTCCCAAAGATAGAGTTAAATATAGGGCAAATTCTAAGGATAAAATATTTTGTAAATTATGTACGATAAATTCGAGCAAAAGAAGCTTATTTCTCTTCTATAGTTTGGTTCGTAAGGGTTTGTTATGTTTTTAGGAGTTGATCACGGACTGATATCAGTTAGAGAGCCATTGAAAACCAGGGAGTACTGGACAGCTGTTTCATCCTAGTTTGGGAATCATCGGCAGTACGCACCCACTGAGATTCGAACCCAGGACCTTCCGGTTACAAGGCAAGCTTGTATACCATTCAGCCACTGGGACCCGACTCAATGGCTCATGAATTCTAACTTCTACCAATTCGTGATTTTAGCGCAACCCCAACTATTGTCGTTGGTGGGACATCCATCCACACACGTGACATCTAATGAAACAGCAGCTGTCCAGTACTCCCTGGTTTTCAATGGTTCTCTAACTGATATCAATCCGTGATCAACTCGTAAAAACATAACAAACCCTTACAAACCAAACTATAGAAAATTAATCTGATGCTCGCTAGTGACTTGCTACAGGATGGAGTTTCCTGGAGTTCTAGTGAGAAGTCGTGACCAGTGAGGTCCAATTAGATGTCACGTGTGTGGATGGATGTCCCACCAACGACAATGGTTGGGGTCGCGCTAAATCACGAATAGGTAGAAGTCAGAATTCATGAGCCGTTGAATCGGGTCCCAGTGGCTGAATGGTATACGAGCCAGCTTGCCTTGTGACCGGAAGGTCCTGGGTTCGAATCCCAGTGGGTGCGTACTGCTGGGATGAAACAGCAGCTGTCCAGTACTCCTTGGCTTATTTCTCTGATAACATTCCAGGTTATTTCATGTTTATCAGGACATAACTTTCTGTTTCATTTTATCAAAATGCTTGAATGATTGTAATCGTTCATACTATTTTGGTTTCCTTCAAGTCTGGCCAAGAGTTGACATGAGTTAGAGAGCCGTTGAAAGCCAGCAGGGATTTCTGGAAAGCCGTTTCGTCCTAATATGTGACTTACAGTCAGTACGCATCCACTAGGTTTTGAACCTAGGACCTTTGGGTTATAAGTCAAACTCGTAGACCATTGAGCAACTGGGACGTGACTCACTGGGCCATGAACTTTTAACTCAGGATTGAGGAAGAATACTCACCAGTGACAGTGGTTGGTGGTCACGCTAAAATCACGAATTAGTAGAGGTTAGAATTTATTGACAAGTAAGTCCAGTCCCACTTGCTGAATGGTCTCCGAGTTTGTCTTGTAGCCGGAAAGTCACAGGTTCGAAACCAAGTGGGTGCGTGCTGCTGATGCGTGCCATACAAGGACGAAATAGTTGTCCAGTACTCCCTGCTGGTTTTCAGGGATTCCCTAACTGATATCAATCCATGATCAGACTTTAAATAAACCGAATCCCTACGAATTAACTCTTGAAAATTTTGATTTTCGTTGTATGTCCGCCTACTTTTTTTAATCTTTCACGTTCCCCAGTGGAACATAGGGCTTCAAGCTAGTGGCTTGAAGTTTCTGTAGCAGTGTTTACTTTATAGGATGGGGTTGCTAGCCTCATGCCCAACCTTTCCTCTTCACCAGCATTATTTCTGGCTTAGCGAGGTAGAGGAGTGCGTCGGACCATATGCATGGTCGGCGAGCGTCCTAACCGCTATGCCACCGACGCACATGTATGCCTATGATAACTTAAAATAAAAGTACATTTCACTGCCACAGTTCTTGTTTCATTCATACAATTAAATTCTAAATGTATGAATGTAACCTGGGTGCCATGATTAAATCCATCATTTAACTGTTTTCATGTTTCCCTTTGAAACTATTGAGTTATAGGCATACCTAATATGCAAAACATTGAACCGTAAATGATTTAAAAAAATTAATTTAACTATTTATAGCTTCATTGGATTGATAACAACTCATCTGTATGATCAGTGTAAATGATGCCTTGAGCATATAAAATGGGTTATTGTTCAACTATTCCAAAGACAAAAATATATAGATAATATCATGCATAAATTATGGAAATAACAGAATGAAAACATGTTAGTCTTTTAGTTAGTTGGTTAGTTAGTAATGCAGATATAAAGTCCTGAATTAAAAAATACGGGTAGAATTCAATATTTTCCTGCTGGAGTTTATTCAACTCACTAACAAGTGACAGATTAGTAGGAGTGATAAATTCCACTCCAGATAAAGACCATTCTATGGGCTATGCTTAGGTGGAAATCAAAATATTTGTGGAAAAATAATGGGATGATAATCGGTAGGAAATTAGTTGAACTAAATGAATTTTAAATGACATTACATTGCCTTCTACGTTCTTTTTATTTTGTCAACCGAATTATTAAGGGAGGTTGAGTATTTTACTTAGAAACATTGAGTAATCGACTGTTTATATGTAGAAAGCAGAGGTGATGATGATACCCGATGACTAACAACCACTACAACAACAAGAACAAGTCACGATCGATGGGAGATATCCAAAAGCAATTTGTATCTTACACTTACCTGGTCCAGACAGCATCATTTTAACTACAAGCGAGCTGGATGAGGATGTCATAGCCAGGATTAGAGGAGGTTCACAGCTCTCAACACAAGGAATAAGATCCTATTAATCAACACTAATTACAGGTCAGTCATTGCTTCTATGTAGCTCAGAGACTTTGCGTATGCATCACTAGAAGTATTTCCTACTGCCTGCTGCAGACAGTCATATGACCGTCCTGGAAGAACAAGCAAGAAACAAGTAACTCTCACAGACAGCGAACCAGCCAAGAATCTACTGACCAAAATACTCTGAGGATACAATTATGTAATAGTGCACTTTAGAACTTCGACTGCGACTCGAATGAGAGGTCCAGTATATAAGGAGAAGGTGAAAGTTTCTCGGTGACCGCGTAGCTAACAAAAAAGGCAGTGAATCAAATGCAGTAGAAATATGCCACTAAACTCCTATGTTTCGCTCGGAAGACAAGGAATTAATAATCAATAATAATAGATCCAAAAAAAATTAATAGCTCAATAAATAAGGAAATTCTGAATCTGTACCCGTCTAACACACCAACTTAAAGCCAATACAATAGAAAGAAATTTACACAACCTGCAATACAATAGCACACATCTCCTTGCATGAAGTGTATGTGTTT